CGGCTAGTCTGACTGACTGCGCCTGTCCTACTAATTTCACCCATCTATGTATTTGACCTGACAATCATTCCAGCAGGCAGGGTTTTAGATAGACTAAATTGTTTTTTTTTTAATGTGGTGTTCCACAGGATTGATCCTTTAACCGAGAGAGCTTGTTTGTAATTGACTTTGTGGTTGTTTTGAATTCAGGTCAATTTTATTCCTGCCAGGCTTGTTAAGAATTCTGCGTAAGGTGGTTTCCGAGGTTCGTTTCAAATCCTACTACCCCTACGACGACAAATAGGAGACGACGAAGAAATCTATAAAACTCAAGTTTCATAGTCGTCTGGTTATAATGGATGAAATGATTATGAACAGCAATAATGAGACTGTGTCATCCAGTAAGTAATACTAATACTGTTTCACTTACTGACTGTGTGATCCATCTAATAAACAAATTAATATGGAATTACTCACTACAACCGCAGTGGCCAGGTTCTACACATATGTTGAAATCTCATTCTGGCATACTTTACTGTCACTGCCAATTATGCGCTTAACACAAGAATTAAATAAAACGGAATCGAAATCACTCGCCAAATTTTTTCACTTAATCTTCTTGATTAGTTAGGGTTAATTACGGTTAGTCGACCATCTTCCCTTGTAGGAACTTCGTATAACGATAAGATTATCCTTACAGCCATCGAACTCAGTTTCTCTACCAATATTAGTATGGTTGCATAAGTGTGGTGATTGTTTAAAGTTGTAACTGATAGTAGCCGACAGAAAATAAACAAACTGTACACTCTACCACTGAGATGACAGAAATAGGAAATGTGGATTCATCAAAAGTATTTTTTGTATTTTAAACTTTCAGTGTGGACAAAAAACAGCAGATAAAAATAACAATGAATGGCATGTATTTGCCTACTACAATAATCATAGTAATAATTTCCTTTAATTCCTAGAGGACCATAGGGCTTCAACTGAACGTCCCCATTCCGTCCGGATCTCTGCTAAAGTTTTCACCTGGCTCCAAGTCTGCCCACATGCTTTCATCTCCTCTTCACATCACCTCCGCCAAGTCACCCTTGAACTGACGACCAACTCACCGCTTCCCTTTCGGGTTCCACTCGAGCAATGGCTTGTCCAGTGATGTCACTCACTTGATGGTTTGTTTTCTCAAAGTATGGCCAATCCAATCCACCTCCGTTTCTTCCTGCCTATTTGTTTCACAATCGGTTCCTGTTGGGTTGGTCCGCTCATTGCCAGAGATCCCTTCCTGTTGCTGATCTTTTCTAGCCAACCGGCCATCTGATTTTGAGTGGTGTAGAGCGAAGACAACTAGGTGTTGATGAAGGTCTGTAGTTTGTTTGCGGTGCTCTTTATGTGACGTGCTGACAAAGTCTCTGATCCATCTGTATAATGAGTAGCGCTGACTGACTTCACATCGGAGTTGAGAATCCGCATCTTATTTGCATTTTCATGCTGACTGCCGAGTGCTGTTGACCTCCACAGAGACGTGAGTGTAATGAAAGCTTGTCTTGCTTTTCCGATCATCACTGCGCTGATATCCTCGTCAGTTCCGTTGGCCTTTAGTTAAAATGATGATTTCCAGGTAGGTAGGCAGGAAGGTAGGTAGGTAGGTGGGAAGGTAGGTAGGTAGGTAGGTAGGTAGGTAGGTAGGTAGGTAGGTAGGTAGGTAGGTAGGTAGGTAGGTAGGTAGGTAGGTAGGTAGGTAGGTAGGTAGGTAGGTAGGTAGGTAGGTAGGTAGGTAGGTAGGTAGGTAGGTAGGTAGGTAGGTAGGTAGGTAGGTAGGTAGGTAGGTAGGTAGGTAGGTAGGTAGGTAGGTAGGTAGGTAGGTAGGTAGGTAGGTAGGTAGGTAGGTAGGTAGGTAGGTAGGTAGGTAGGTAGGTAGGTAGGTAGGTAGGTAGGTAGGTAGGTAGGTAGGTAGGTAGGTAGGTAGGTAGGTAGGTAGGTAGGTAGGTAGGTAGGTAGGTAGGTAGGTAGGTAGGTAGGTAGGTAGGTAGGTAGGTAGGTAGGTAGGTAGGTAGGTAGGTAGGTAGGTAGTTGAAGGAGTTTGTTTCTTTCTGGTTCATGTTGTTGTTTTAGGTGGTGTTGGTGCTTTCCAGGAATATTCATCACCTCTGTTTTCTCTGTGTTTACCTGGAATCCTATCTTCTCTGGATGCTACTTCTTCCAACTTGTTTCCTGTTTCCTCGCTGCCCGTTGTCTGTCGCATTATCCAGTCTACTGCAATCAGGAAGATCTTTGGCGAGAATAGATAACCTTGCCTCACTCCCATCCCCACTTCGAAGGCTTCCGTAAGTTTCCAGTTGTGGATTACTTGTCATACAAGCACCATTGTCGTGCAACTGTTGGATGAGATGTACAATTAATAATAATAGTTTTATTCCAAACAGTATTTGTGATACAGGTATGGAATTTTCAGCGTGCATTACAGTATATTGTATCTAATACCTCATAAATTTTATAAGATTTTGAAATCAGAAAGCAACACCCAAAACAAAAGAAGATAAATAAAAAAAATAAAAAAGAACAGCGTTGAGTTTACATTTCAAACAATGCACCACAGGATATGAAATATAAAATTACTGTGTAATAGAAGATGAGAACAACAGTGTAACAGTGTAGTAACGAGGAAAGGAAAACAAAAACTAATGGGAACTATTTGTTAGAGTGCCGCAGTAGGTTGATCGTGTCATACCTAACGGATTTCTGATCACACATAATAGCTGTGCCAGATATGGTATTGTGGCGGTTTTGTACTTGGTAGTCGTAGCATACAGCCTCCTATAGCTGCTTCTAGTTCTACCAGATGAAATGCAAGGAGACAGCTGTGTATAGAGGGTATGCTCGGGGTCTGACAATATAGTAGTATTCGCTAGTTTCTTACATGACATTATATGTCTATCCACAATAGTGTTAACCAGTTAGTTGGTTTAACGATATCCCACTTGCCCTCCCTACTAACGGCTTTTAGTTCCTGCCCTTCTCAGGAAAGCAAAATCTTTCTTAAGTAGTCCAGGAAAGATTAATGGCGAGCAGTAAAGGGGGATGGGTAGAATACAAGAATTGACAAACTGACAAAGTAAAGACTGTTTTATACCAGAATGCCTTAACTTTCTAACGTAGAACGTTAAGCGAAACATCTTTCTAGTGACTAGCAAGATGTGGGAAGACCAGGAAAGATCGGAGGAAAAACTCAGTCCAAGGTACTTGACATTAGATGTATTTTCAACCTCTATGCTGTCAATGATAGTGGGGCCATGTGAGCTAGCTAATTGTTGTAGGTCACGTTTACGTCTGAAAGTGAAATTGACTACCTGACATTTTGACGGATTCAGCTTAAGACCGTTTGAAGACGACCACTGACCAATTTCCGATAGAAAGTCATTTAGATATGATAGAGAAGATTTGTAGCTCAGGTCGATGATTTTGATGTGGTTTTGTTCTCTGAGCTGACAGGCATAGAAATAGAGAGGTCATCGGCAAGCATACTTAACAAAAGTGGCTACATCAGAATGAGGCAAGTCATGTAAGAAAAAAAGAAAACAGCCCGTAGTAGCTAAGTAGTTGCCAAATCACCTCTCGATCGACGCTGCACAATCGAAGACCATTTCAAAGTCAATGAAGTTGAGTGAGATGGAGAGATGACCGCCATTCCAAGCTCTGTTCAGTGATAACCCGTAGTGTGGCGATTTGATCAATACATCACTTGTTTCTCCTGATTCCAGCTTGTTCTGGTCGAAGTTTTTCATCCACAGTATTATTAATATTCCCTTGGATTCGAGGTGCATCATTACACGCCTTCAACAACAAATCACCATTCTGCCGTTTTCTCTGCAGTCTTCTTCTTTTATCTACTTTCACAATTGTGTATAGGCTCTCGTGTCCTGCTTAGAAAATCTCTTCATCACCATCAATCGTGGACGGACGCCAAACTTATCGTTTCGCAAACCCCCTTTTAGTCGAAAGACTGTTGCGCGTATGTCCACTACAATCCAATAAAGGAAATAATTATTCACCAGAGAATAAGTTCCCATTTACTGCAGCAATCAAGCGTGTCCAGTTCTCAAACAGACCAGTGAATTCCACCGCATACCTGACCTGCCCCTAGTCAATTCAATGAATAAACAAATGCTACATTTGACAAGGAGAACTGTCGATTAATGCACCTAAACCACCAAAAACCAAACCAAACAAACAACAAGCAGTAGTTAATTTTAATTGGTGGTTAGTGAATAGAAGTGGAATCCAGTTCAGAATAATGAGAATTTTGTCCTATTTGGGACTCGTCAGTTGGATGCATGTGCCTGCATTTCCCAGTGGGTCACTGATGATGTTCCCACCACCAACGAGGATCGGACTCAGTGACCATAGTTTCAAACACAACAGCCAAAGCGTTATTCACTAGACCACTTGGGCAACGACGGCCATCTCTTGTTTGAAACTATGGTCACGGGGTTCGATCGTCGTTGGTGGTGGGAACATTATCACTCACAGACTCACTGAGGAATGCAGACACACCCTCTAGCCAACTGTGGAGTCAAAAATAGGACGGAGGAAATTCGTGTTCTCCTGGACTGGATTCCACTGCTCGTCACCATACACCAGTTAAATTTAACGTTTTTACTTGTTAAACGACTCTCAGTTGACTGGCTGATTAAGAAATCCCATCACATCAAAGAAAACATTGTTCATTCATTTATCAAATTACATATATACATATATAATGTCTATTGGAATATGGAATTCTTAGCTGTTTTGAATAGAAGCCTGAAGTAATAATGAATGAGGCTACTTAGACATAAACAAATCGGAAAGAGGGATTTTTGAAGCCATCAATCATTCATGCATTCATTGCCGTACACAACTTCATTAATAATGAGATTTCCGAAAACAAAAAACAAAAAATTAATTGAAATAACACAGAACGTTGTGATGAGCAGTTTTAAAATTCAGGCTGCAATGCTCACACGTTCTGTTGCTTTGATTTTATGCGCGCCATCTCATGCATTGTTTTCTTTCTACACAAGCGTAAATCATCAATTCATGGTATGCTGGAGGTATGATCCCCTTCTTATTTTTGTTCTTTTTTGTCACAAAGCGGAAAAACAGAAATTACTGGTTTCTATTCATAGTAGTAGTAGTAGTAGTAGTAGTAGTAGTAGTAGTAGTAGTAGTAGTAGTAGTAGTAGTAGTAGTAGTAGTAGTAGTAGTAGTAGTAGTAGTAGTGATTATGTTGTCATCAAAGCGCCTAATCAACAGATTATACCGTCTAAAGAAATCACCGCTGATTGATTGATCGATACGATATACTGATGATGACTGTAATTACAGACTGGCGACGGAATAATGGTTAATCAGCAACAAGGGGGTATATTGTTGGCATAACCAACAGTGAGATGTGATTAAGCTAAGTGAATCATTATCAATTTATTGAGTCAATAAAAAATTTAGACGGCTAAATTGCCATACAACGTGAAGCTGGAAATGCCGAGAAATATTCTATTATATATAACCATTTCTAATATATGGAAAGTCAATTACCAAAGAGGTGGAGCAAAGAAAACACTCGGCTGAACACTTCAAAAGACTTCTAAATCGACCACCACCTACAACGCGCCTAACAATACCAACAACGGAAGTAGAACTACCAGTGAACATTGACCCCCCGACAAAATCGGAAGTCCTGAATGTCATCAAGATGCTAAAAGCTGGATTATCACCAGGACCAGATGGAATCCCAGCAGAAGCTTTGAAAATAGACCCAAAGACAACAGCGGACTTGATGACACCACTACTGGAGAAGGTGTGGAAAAAGGGCAAAGTACCTGAGGATTGGAAGAACGGATACTTATTCAAACTACCAAAGAAAGGAGACTTAAGTCAATGCAAAAACTGGCGTGGAATTATGCTCCTGTCCATCCAAAGCAAAATACTGATCCGCATCATCCTGGAGCGAATCAAACAAGCCAACCTAGATGCAAAACTCCGACCGAAACAAGATGGATTCAGGAGAAACAAGTCATGTATTGGTCGAATCGCCACACTACGGATCACCACCGAACAAAGCTTGGGATGGCAGTCACCTCTCCATCTCAACTTCATCGACTTTGAAAAGGCCTTCGATAGCGTCGATCGAGAGGTGATTTGGAAACTACTTCGCTACTACCAAGGTGTGATGCCGACAATTATACATCTCACCCAACAGTTATACGACAATGGTGCCTGTATGACAAGTAATCTACAACGGGAAACTTACGGAAGGCTTCGAAGTGAGGACTGGAGTGAGGCAAGACGGTCTATTATCGCCAATGATCTTCCTGATGGCAGTAGACTGGATAATGCAACATACAACGGGCAATGAGGAAACAGGCATAAAATGGACTCACACAAAAAGAGACTTGGACGATCTCGACTTCGCTCGTGATGATACAAGTCTGATTTTCCACAAACACTGGAAGGTATACAAGTGAAAAGCAACAAGGTGGCGATAGAAGAAGTATCAGCAGAAGATAGGACTTCCTTCTGGTGAACATAGATAAACCAAAGATGATGAAGATTCCTGGCCAACACCAACAGCAGCAACAACAACAAAAGACAACAATCAGCCAGCATAAATGGAAGGAACCTGAAAGAAACAACCTCCTTCACCTACCTACCGACCAACCCACCTGGGAAGCATCGTTTCAACTACAGGCCAACGGAACTGACGAGGATATCAACGCAGTGATGACCGGAAAAGCAAGACAAGCTTTCGTTACTCTTAAGTCTGTGTGGAGGTCAACAGCATTCAGCGTCAAAAATAAGATCCGGATTTTGAACTCCAATGTAAAGTCAGTGCTACTATACGGATGAGAGACTTGGCCAGTGCGCGTCATGAAGAGCATCTCCAACAAACTTCAGACCTTCATAAACAGTTGTCTTCGCTCAAAACTCAAGATAAGACGGCCGGCCAGAAAAGATCAGCAACAAAGATCTCTGGGAGCGAACCAACCAGGACGTGATTGCGAAACAAATATTCAGGAAGAAATGGAGATGGATTGGCCATACTCTGAGAAAACTAACCACCAAGTGACTGGCATCACTAGACAAGCCATTGCTCGAGTGGAACCCAAAAGGGAAGCGGGTGGCGAGTTGGTCTTTAGTGCAAGGGTGACTTGGAGGAGGTTATGCGAGGAGTACATGAAAGCATGTGTGCAAACTTGGAGCGGAGTGGAAAAGTTGGCAGGAAGCAGAAGGCAATGGAGACATGCAGGTGAAGTCCTATGTTCCTATAGGAATTAGAGGATATAATAATAATATATGTGTAAAACGGGCAGTGTGGTGGAAGTAAGTAAATCCATATTACTTCGCTTACTAGATGGATCACACAGTCACAGAAACAGTATCAGTATTTACTGAATGACACAGTTTCGAACACAATTTATTATTGCTATTCATAATCATTTCATCCATTATAATCACATGACTTCGAAACTTGAGTTTTATACTTTGTTCTTTCCTATCTGTCGTTGTTAGGGTAGTAGAATTTTCCAGATATCTGTGTGGATAGGTGTTGACGATGCGTAGAGTTGAAATTTGGTCAGAATATGATTTACCCGACTTTCCTGAATCCAGCTTGTTCTGGTCGGAGTACTGTCTCCAGTGCGTCTTTTAATCTCTCCAGGATGATGCAACTTAGGACATTAGATAAACTAAATTATTTTGTTTTAAAAAGCATGGAATGGCAGTCACACCTCTACCTCAAATTTATAGACTTCGAGAAAGCCTTCGACAGCCAGCGTTGACCGCAAAGTCATCTGGAAACTACTCGAGTACTACCACGGACCCCAAATATTCACCAACCTGATTCAACAGCTGTACTACAACGGAACATGTCAACTGATCCACAACGGAAAAGTCAGCGAGGCATTTGGAATAAACACAGGAGTCAGACAAGGGTGCTTGCTTATTATCACCAATGAATAATATTCCTAATTGTGGTGGACTGACTGGATTATGCGTCAGACAGTGGGAAACGAGAAGACAGGGATATCCTGGACCGATGTGAAGAACCTAGAAGACCTGGATTTCGCGCGTGATTTTCGCGTGATGATTTATGTTTGATGTCACTGTCACAAAATCGAAGACTTAGAGGCAAGCGAAAACCGACAAACTGGTCGAAGAAGCAGCCGGCGAAGACAGGACAGGACTCCAGGTGAACATAGACAAGATGGAGGTTATGGAAATAACCTACCAACCAACGAAAAACAACAACAACAACAGCAGCAGCAGCAACATCCCGCCAGGGTCAATCACCATCAACGGGAGTGATTTGAAAGAGCTTACTTCATTCACTTATCTAGCTAGGAATCATTGTCTCAACTACAGGCAGTCAGAGCGGACGAGGATGTCAAATCGAGCGAGAATCGGGAAGCCGAGAAACACATTCATCAGCCTGAAATCAATCTGGAAATCTTCGTCACTCAGCATCAACAATTTGGTAGGATTTTCAATACAAACGTAACGTCAGTTCTTCTATACCTATCAGGAACTTGGGGGGTGGGTCACAAAGAATATTTCCACCAACAGTCTGTTGCAGACATTACGTTTATCAAGAACTAACTGTCTTCGCTGGCTCTATACTGAAGATCAGTTGGCCGGGTCTGAAAGAATCACCAACAACAAGAAACTATGGGAACAAACAAAGAAAACAAGAACCAATCGCCAACCAACAAATGCGCAGGAGAAAGTGAAGGGAAGGATGGATCGGACACTCGCTGAGGAGGCCGTCACTAGGTGACACATCGCGCGCGCGTCAGGCCACTGGTCGAGTGGAACCAGGCCGAAAGGGAAGCACGCGGTGAGTGGGTCGTCAGTCCAAGAGTGACATAGAGGAGATCGTGTTAGTTGGAGGAGTTGAAACAGTATGGACTAACATGGATGCAGGTGAAAAGTACAGCAGCAGAAGACATAAGTGGCAAGTGGAGACGTGCAGCTGAAGCCCTATGTTCCACTAGGAACCCAAGGGAACAACAATAATAATAATATCACTGTCTACATGTAGTTACAGATTGATAACAACGAAAGCTTCGTTTATCGAATCAACTGAGAGTGAATAAGTGTAATGGGAATGATTCAACACCTGTCCAGCCTGGTGTCTGGTAATTTCTACTACCTCAATGATGATGATAAATAGGAGAGAACAGTGGTAACTATAAAAGCTGATGTTTTGAAATCGTGTGATTTTAACTGATGATATGACCACGAACAGGAATAAATTTTGTTCGAAACTTTGTCAACCAGTAGATACGAATTGTTTTTGTTCATGTGTGTCATACATCTAATTAGCAGTAGTTCATTTTCTTCGAATGAATTACTACACTTTCCATCTTGTTCCTGTATTCAGATTGACAATAATTAAATCAAGGCGTGTACAGTATTCGGTTGATAAATACTCACTAACAAACAAACAAACAAACAACTGCAACATCAACAACAAGAACAAATACAGTAACGACTGAAAGCAGAAAAAACTAGAAAATAAACTTGAAGGAGAGGTAGGTGATGGTGAATACAATTCACTGTTTCCGCCTACTTTTGACGATTTTTTCTTTCGTTTTTCACTGACATACTCTGATGAAAATTTCCGTAACTATTTATGTGTATTACAAAAAGCAACACATTGTGTTGATCAGCGAAAATAATAATAATAGAGTAACAGAGGCTTGAGACAATTTCAGAATTTTCTAACCCTAACATTTCTCTTCTGTGTGCTCAACTTTCTTCCAGTAATCAGTACAATTGAAAGCAAAAAAAACAGCGAAAAACAAAAAGAAACTAGTGTTTCATATTAGTTTGTTTATTAGATGTATCACACACACACACAGTCAGTGAGTGAAACAGTATTAGTATTTACTGGGTGACAAAGTTTCGAACAAAATTCATTATTGCTGTTCATAATCATTTCATCAACTATAATCACACGATTTCGAAACTTCAGTTTTATAGTTTTCTTTGTCTTCTCCTATTTGTCGTCGTCATTGGAGTGGTAGTGGAATTTTTCAGATATCTGGGTGGACAGGTGTTGAATCATTCACATCACACGTATTTCCATGTTTCAGTTGATTAGATAAACAGCGCTTCCGTTGTAATCAATCTCTCCCTCCATACACCCTGTTGTATCAGTTGGTTGTGTGGGTGTGATAGCATGCTATCTACGGCTGAACTATTCTCTAGATTTCGTATCTTATTCGGGTCAACCAATCTAGATTACACTGCTTGAGGTTCATGTTCGGCTAGTCTGACTCACTGAC